GTGGTAAATAAATATAGTCATAAATAAATAATATAAAGTGATAGCTGTATTTGTGAATAGTATGCTGGCACATACTAGCTTTATATTATTAAAATTTAAAAGCCCTATATAGCCATTGACAGCCTGGTTATTAGTACCACTTTCTCTGGTTATATTTTAGGATATTTCTAAGTTTTAGTAGCTAATAATCCTTGTACAGAGCAAACAAATTTTTGTTATACCCAGCTTATACAAAAAGAACAATAGGTGATAATCTCAGTAATTGATCTATTACTCCTTATAGTATCTTTGAAGACTATTGAATTTAAATTCTATTAACCACTTATTTATTATTTACTTTTATTATATATTTTATTAGATTTTCATTAATTTTTAATGACAAATAGATCTAGTGATGAAATCTAAAACTATAACTCTAAAATTTTATTTTAACAAAATTTGAATATTTTGTTAACATTTTATTGAACAATTATTTAACAAAATTTAAATATTTTGTTAATATTCTATCAAACACTATTATCAACTTTTATCGAACTTTTATTTAAGAAACAGACTTGAACTCTTTATTAACTTTATTTTTATTCATTATAATTTATTATTTATTTATTACTATTCGTTCTATTTTCATTACAATTTCATTATTATAACTTTTTGTTATAACTTTATTTGTTAAAACTTTATTCGTTATAATTTTATTCTTTTATATATTCTTTTTGTTATAATTTTATTTGCTATAGCTTTATTCATTATTACAACTTTTCAATACCATTTTTCATTACAATTTTATTGTTATAACTTTATTATTATAACTTATTTGTTATACTTTTATTTGTTATAGTTTCTTTTATTAAATTTTTATTATTATTTTTCAACTTATTCAATACTACAAGAAATAGAATTAACAATTATTATTGTTATCTACCCTGAAAAATTTATTTTACTTGAACTCTAACTTTATACGAAATATTATTTATTACTTTTAAAAACAAATTTTATTTATTTATTTATGAATATATTTATTTACCACAGGATGTGGTATATATTATATACCACCCTTATATATATCATGTGATACTATATTAAATTTAAATTATAGTGTAACTAACAAAAATCATAACACTAAACTATCCAGTATCATCTTCAAAAAAGTACAAACACGTGATATTTTTGTGATACAAACCAATCATATTTTAAGATCAGGTATAATATAACATGATCAGGAAAATTCAGAACAAATGTTTATTTTGCCAAAAATTAGCTATAACTCAAAAACTGACATAGGAAACTACCTTTAATGTCCTAACAAAAGTTTTTCTTGTGCAAAACTTGCTAATATCTAACCTCAATATAAATGCTAACCCTAACTTGAGCTTGAAGATTTTTTAATATGTTGCAAATATAGTCACTTGTTTATACTCTTTGAAGGTGATACTGAGGAAGATCAGCAATTAACCAATCATTAATTGTTATTTGATATCGATTAGAAGAATTCATTTTATCAAAAATCACTTATAACTCAACAATTGGGCGATTTTACTAATAATTCCAAACCTTAAAGTAAGTTAACTTTAAAATAGTTGAATTTTCAATTATCACATATCCAAGATTTTAATTGCCAACAGTGTTATATCTATGCATATACGTACATATATGCATATATATACATATTTACACTATACTAACCTTTATATTATTTAAAACCATTTTTTGCTGAATAAATAGATACATTTCATATATATGTTTAAAAATGTTATTGCACTTTAATAAACTCTATAAAATATACCTAAAAACAGAAGTAGACAATAGCAATAAACCAAATATACATAACAAGCAAAATAAGCAGAGTTGATGACATAACAAGCAAAAATAAGCAGAGTTAATTTTAACAAAGAAAAATAAAAATTGTAAAGAATTATATTGTAGACTGCAAAGTTTAGACTATTCTCACTATTATTAATTATTAATTTTCCTTCATATTAGTATTGTGGCCTAAACTCAAGATTCTAAGCTAATTGTCAACTCATCTATATATACGTATAATAAACTAAAATCCTTTAATAATAGTTAAAATACTAATTACACTGTATTCAATTATACCTGCTCATTTTTCTTATTAGGACATTTGAAAGTATAATGACCTTTTTTATGGCACAATTTGCATTTATATCTATTTGTCTTAATTTTGCTATAATTACTATCAACATTATCAGAAAATACTATTTGTTTTCTTATTACTGCTCTTACTTTTATTTTCATTAAAGGCTTTCAATCTTTTGCTGAGAGGTCTATTTTTCCCTCTACGTACTACTGGATCTTTAATAGAATTAACATCATAAATATACTCATCAGATAATTTAATATTAACTGAGGCTTGATTTTCATTAGTATATATTTGTTGAATTTGAATATTTCGCATTGCTTTCTTTTTAGTAATATAAAATAAAATGAGTTCATCTAAATTATTTTGATCATTATCCTCTAATGAATAATTTAGTGCCTTTTTAAAATGATCTATTAAATGATCATAATCTATTTTTTTTTGTAAACAAAGTTGAACTTGAGCTTCTTGAATATTATAATGATGTTTAGGAATAAGATTGCATATATTATTCTTGTTTTGATATTTTTGTAATGATGTGCTAACAAATAGTTCACTATATATAAAATTAATCTCTTTCCAAGCATTATCATGCAACCATCTCGATGGCATTAACATCATATGAAATAAAGCATTCAAATTTTCAACCATTAATTTAAAGTAATAATGGCAGACAATCCTATGCAAAACTAATAATAAACACGTACACAAATGCGTATCATCATTAAGCATAACAATATGCTAGTACGAATTTGGTGCTATATATGGAATAACTTTTCATACTTCTTTAATCAACTCTTTTAGAACCGAATTTAAGAGTGATTGTAAATATATTTGTCAAAAATCGTAATAATTCTTAATGTTTTCTACATCTTCAATATCCTTTATACTTATTCTTGATTATCATGATTCTAAATAAATGCATTTGTAATTAAATATACTCAAGTATAATATCAAAAAAAAAAACATACCATTTAACTGTTGTTAAGTTCACATTTTCTTTGATCCAATTGGTCTTCAAATATGAAAGCATAATTAACATCTAACTTGTCACATTTATAAAACACAGATTCATATATTTGTTTATGAATTTCCTTAATAATTTGTGGTGTGAAATATTTTTAAATTTCGTTATTAATATTAGAAAAAATCTTTCTACAATAAATAATTGGTGATGTTTTATTGACTTGTGCTTCTATTCAATAAAACTCTTATTTAATATCTCTTTTTCTATATGAATTTCTAAGGCTTCAGCCACTTCAGACATATTAGAACTAGATGCAACTGCCTTATGTATAAGTGTATTGATAGATTCAACATGTTGTGTAGATTGTATCCCAGCCGTAAATATTCTGCTTATAAAGGGCTTGGCCCAAGATTATCAGGATGAATAAATAGGATTATTTAAATATTTATTAGTATAAGAATATTTATTTAGTAATGATTAAAATCGATGCTCAAAAATATCAATACACAACGAATTTCATGCCTTCTAGAAATTAGAAATAAATTACTTATAATCTACACTTCCAAGCTTAGCTTTAAGCCATTTAGGTAAATTTTGGAAAAGGTGCTATATACAGTGAATATGATATGAGTTTTTATATATGATCTGATATACTGCATCTATTGCTAGATCCATATTAGTCATTATAACCTGAAACTCTATGTTAGTAGCATTCAAAGTTTGTTGCTAAACCTATTCATAGCTCTCCTGAGTTTTGTCACTTAAAAAAGCCTATGCACTCAACTGTGATTTACCATTATTGGCAACAAGAATGAATAATAATAAAGAAAAATTATATTTATTAGTTCTTGAAGTATTATCATATAAAACGATATCAAAATATCTAGACTATAATAAAATCTGATTTGCTATCATCCAAAAAATACCACACAATCGATTACTATCAGTATTTATTAAAGACTAAACAAACATCGTAGGATCTTCTTTTTGTCATTTAAGTAAAAACTTTAGTAAATTAGGAGCATCAGATCCAACTATCCTATTTTCACATTTAATTTTTTGGATTGCATTTGATAAATCTTGTTTAAGAAAAAGTTAGATGGGAAACAAAGGTCATAACAAATTTCTTATTGTATATGTATCACAATGCCCAAATACAACTGCACGTTCAATTTCACTCATTATGGATTCATTAAACTTTCGAAATACCATAGCGAATCTTATATTTTCAGCATTAATAATATGATTGTGTACAAGATGTCCGAGAGTAATATACATAAAACCACCAACTTCTGGATTACTTAAGTTAACATGCTATTTACAATCTATCTTTTTTAATTCTTTATTATGCTGTTGTTCAATTGGTTTAGTCTTGTTAGGCTTATACTTTCTGGCATTCTTACATACAAGCATTCTTTTCTTAACTAAAGGATCATTTGATTCATTAAATTAATATTTATAATATTCAACTCTATCATGATTTATTACAAATCTCTTCTGCCACCTAAATTTCTTTATATAGTCTTCTGTGATTGACTAGGAATCAAAACGCATTCTGACAGATATCTTTATAGGTTGGCTTAAAGAATAATTTCTAAAATCTTGACATTCCAATTTCTACTCAAAATTCTCAAAACCTTAAACAAAAAAAAATAAATAAATAAAATTGAATTCAAATTGCTTTGTGATACTATATCATATTATTTTAGTACTTTAAACTAACCTTTATTAATTTTTATAAATTTATTTACAGGTTCGCTATCCACATTTTCACATTTCACAGTTTCACATTTTACAGTTTTACCCTCCATGGTTTTGCCTTTCACTGTCTTCATATTTTTACTTACTCTCACATTTATACATTTCAGAGTTCCACCTTTTATAGTTTCGCCATCAGAAATCCTCATATTTTTATCTGTTACAAGTTAGTCTTGAAAATTTGCTTTCTATAAGTTTGTTTTCTATGTATTCTACAAATTCATCAAGAACAAATTGATCTTTCAAAACATGTCCACCTTCAACAGCCATCATTTTGTCTTCTAACACAATTTTCAACAAAAGTCTTAGATCGAACTATTTTTAATAATAACTTGATACTTGCAACTTTGAAATTACTGACTCTAAAGATGTTAAAAATATAAAACAAACTAAACAGTTATAAAATAGCAATATAAAAGCAAAGATTTGTAGTTTTATCTGCGTGTCTTCTAAATACAGTAATAATTTAAGTAACTTTCTCTTTTATACAATATACAAAGATCTTTGTTAATGTTATGTATATACATATATGCATAGAGGTTATTTTAACTAAATATGTACAAAAAGATTATTTTAACTAAAAAGCTTTTTGTTAATATACTTGTTTATTTTCTGCATAATTAACACTGCTATGATCATAATCACACAACTACCAATAATTTAATTTCTAAAATAGAGATAAGTGTGCAGTAATACTGCACCTGCGGTATATAAATATATTTTTTTATTTATTTTAGTCACTTAAATAATAGTTTATTATTAACTTTATTAGGATAGTTTTCACAAAATTTTATTTAAAGCAATAGTTATTTAATTATTTAATTGACGATTATCCAGTCAACTGAAGAATGATCCATATGGACAGATTTGCGTAATTACTAATAAAAATGATAAAATATTTGACAGTGAATAACTGAGACAGTCATTTTGGTGGTAAAATCATCCCAAACGGATCAGTGAACAAAAAGTTATTCACTGTTAAATATTTTACTATTTTTAGTAGTAATTACGTAAATCCGCCCATATGCATAGTGAAACGTGATGCGGTTCTATATGTAAATTACTATAGATGCGAAAGTAGAAATTTTCTAGTGATTGTCCAAAGAAAACTTTTTTTTGTACTAAGTTAATCA